CCTCCATTATTCACATTTCAAGTGAGGTTTCCTCCTTTTACAAAAAAAATGCATACGTTTTTGTGTTTTGTTTTGTTTTTTTTAAACAGCCTCTTGTTCCTCATGTATATTTTTTATTTGTGTACTGAGTAATTTTCATAGTTGATGACAATAGGTAGTGAAAGCTAGGAGGTAGTGAGGTAGTGTAAGGTGACACTTTTTGTTTCATATATAGAGGTCATTTCATGTTTGAAGAAAGTACTTGTTAGACTTTTCCAGTAAATGTAAACATTTTCTACTCTTGTTGGAGATACCAAAAAAGTATTAGATTATTAAAATATGTAAAAACTAAAGAAACTTGTTATTCTTCTTGAAGATTTGAGATTTGGAATTTATCTGAATTACATAAAAAGGAGATCTAATCTTTTAGGAGACTGATAAACTTTCCCTTTTTTTCCCTCCCCTCCAGGTGCAAGCATCTCACTTTGAAGGCCTAATTACAACTATAGTTGGATATGTTCTGCTAGCAGTGACCCTAATTGTTTGTCATGTATCCTTTTGTCAGTAGCTACCTGGTTCAGATTTTACATCTAAATCATTTTTCTGGCTATGTTTTGAGGCGGGACAGACATGATGCAGATGCAATTTATTTACCATTTCCTCTACTCTTTTGGTGAAATGAGAAGAAAGCGTCTCTCCTCTTCTCTTGGGACATTTAAAAGTTGTCAGAGTGACTGCATTCTTCAGAACACTTGCACATGTTGAACAACAAAAAGCATAGGCTTTTATGCTTGCTTGAAGGCCTGCAACTAAATTTTGAAGGTCTGTCTGAGAAGATGAGTGTAGAACCATAGTTTTTTCCTCAGTATTTCCTTACACTATTGCTGTGGGCTACTTAGTTGCAGCAGAAAGAGAAATGGGATTATGAAAATACGTCGGGTACAATGGGAAATTTATTCACATCTCTCTGATTCTGCCAGATCTTTAAAGTGCGGATTGTTTTAGTTTCTCTTTTATGTCTCTGAACCACTGAGTTTGCAGCAAGAATTTATTTCAGGTGATAGCCATCGTTAGTATAGAGAAAATTAAGTAACAATGGAGTCCTGAAAGCTAGAAGGATTTGGTCACAAGTAAAAAGTCTGCATTCTAGCTGCATGTTTTTAAAGGGACTACACCAACTTCAATTTGAAAGAATCATCATTTGTTAGTAGTTTTCAGTTCAAGAGTACACAAAACTAAAATCAACTTTAGACCGCACTGTACCAATGTGCAGTGCAAAAGTGGTAAAACAGTTCATTGGCATGTCTCTGTTTTGCCTCCTAAAAGAGAACAAAACAAACCCCCAAAATGTAATATGCATCCAGCTTTTCTTTGAAAAGGTGAGAATTTATTTCAGACTGCATGAAAAGAAAAGCTACCATTTAAGGTAGGCCTTCAGTTTTGAAACTTGCTTAGTCATGGCAGATATTTTCAAAGGCAACTGTTTATTTCTTGAGAAAACTTTTGGATGCTTCATTTAAGAAGGGTGGTAGTATTATTTATTTACTTATTCATTTATTTTAGATGTGTGTTTGAGGGGGTTATGCAGCACATCAGATTGTGACTTCCAGAGTCACAGGCAATATTGAAAATAGAACCCTGATAAAATACATACTTTATTTCACTTTTGTCTTATAAAATTTCCTATTGCTGAAAGCCACATAATACAGTGTTTCATATTAACCAAATTATGTTATAAAGTATTTTTCAGTATTACTTTCTTGACAAAACTATTCAGGGTTTGGCAGCACTTGTTAAGTTCCAGCGATCACGTCGTTTATTAGGTGTTTGCTATATTGTTGTCAAGGTAATCCTATTTTTCTGTGTGTAGCAAAAAACCCTCTCAATTTAAGCTTACATTATAATTTTCTTAGCAATTTCTGTTAAACTAGTGAGATGTTCTTTTCTCTATTTTCCTAAAGGTTTCCTTGTTAGTAGTGGTTGAAATTGGTGTATTTCCTCTCATCTGTGGCTGGTGGCTGGATATATGCTCTTTGGTAAGAATGGAAATAAATGGGATAAAATCTTTTGTAACGGTGTTTGTATTTAAAGGAAAAAAGTTCTGATGAGAAGAGAGCTGTTGATATGAGTTTGACAGCACTCTTCTGTTTTTGGCTAGTAGTATATATGAACTAGGGTAAACAAAATTAATACCTGTGGAAGTTTGCCAAACTTTATTCATATTTGGTTACTACTTTCCTTCTAGGAGATGTTTGATGCCACTTTGAAAGACAGAGAATTGAGCTTTCAGTCTGCCCCAGGTACCACAATGTTCCTGCATTGGTTGGTTGGAATGGTTTATGTCTTTTATTTTGCATCCTTCATTCTTTTACTGAGAGAGGTAAGTCTGTAATGAAGAGATTGGTTCGTAACATAGAGAAGCTTGCATGTTGAACTGTTAGTTAGGTCTTTTGTGTATGGGTATTGCTGCTACCATGGTTTATTCATGTATATTGGATTTCAGCCTTATGTAAAAAGGGCCACACTGGTACTTACTGCAGTGAAAAATGATGATTTACAGTGTATCTTAAAGATCTTTGGTTTAGAAAGAGTCCTTTAAACATGGGTATTGACTTCAAATTAATCGAAATAAATTTCAGTTGTTTAAGGTTGATTAATACTTGAAAATTAAGCTTGTAACTGTTATTGCTTCTCTACTTATCTATGATATTGCTTCTTTTGTTCTATTTCTGTACCATTTTGTTGAGCCTTGTTCAACAAATACCCCTATTATGTTTAAAAATTACTTGCTGCAGCAATGTTATCCAAAATGAAAACCAAAGAATACAAAGATAATTTTCTCTTCATATATTGTTTTCTATTTCCTGCTTCAGGTATTGAGACCTGGTGTCTTATGGTTTCTCAGGAATTTGAATGATCCAGACTTTAATCCTGTACAGGAAATGATTCACTTGCCCATTTATAGACATCTCAGGAGGTTTATCTTATCAGTGGTAAGGATTTTTCTCAAAAATTTCTTTATTTGGAAAGAAAATTTCATATGTCAGCTCCCATATATGCTACTGTATATTTAAGGAAAAATATTTTCACCATGAAGGTAATTAGATACGGGAACAGGTTTACAACAGAATCTACGTCTTTTGAGATATTCAAAACTCAACTGGATAAGGTTCTGAGCAACCTGATGTAACTGGGCCTGCTCAGAGCAGGGGGTTGGGGTAGTTTACTTCCAGAGGTCCCTTCCAAAACAAATTTTTCTGTGATGTCTTCTCCTTATGCAAAATCACAGGAAACATTTGTGTATTCGGACAGCAAGTGTTTATTATCATGGATATTGTAAATCATGTAACTCATGATGCTCTTAGTTATTGCAGTAAACATTGTGCGTCCAATTCGGCTAAAGTAGAGCAGCAGGGGTAGAGTAACTTTCTAGTTAAGTTTTGGATTGGATTATGCTGATCTGGCCAGTGGTATCTGTTTCCAGATTATCATTGTATGGTACTTAAAACAATGAAAGTTTTTTTTCCTTTTGCTTGTTTGTCTGAAATTTGCCTAGCATGCAGTAAGGGAAAGGCCTCGGGCTGTCTTTGACATAAATGTCACATCAACTGTGAAAACTGATATACTAGAAACATTACTATTTGACATGCTGTATTAATGCACCTATGAGCTTTGAGTAGTGGAAGCTTGTAGAGAGATCTTGGTTCTATTAGAGCACCCTTCAGTACATGAGAGGACCTGACCTGTCCACTTCTTGGAGTATTTTCTCCTTAGGTAATCATAATGCTTTAGCTGCCTGAAAGTTTGTGTCACTGCTTATATTTGGGCCACCTGCTAAGATCTGCTTTTTACTAAAGGTCTTAGAGATATGTTCTCAGGCTGTATTGGAACTGGCAGTTAATGGAACTTCACCTTTTGATTTACTTGGCTAATAAATTCAGAACTCTTACCAGCCTCTTGTTAGAATATGGGACCCAGAACGGCAACCATTTACAGCTTACCATTTCAAAAAACAAGTCACGCCTTTCAAGTTATGTTTCTTTCTCAGTATTTTTAGGAAATTTCTTCTGTAGAACATAAACTATTAATTTTCAAGAAGAATGGGATTTGATTTTTCTTTTTTTATGTAGTTAAACATACAATTTTTTTGCTATTTTAGTCTCTAGTGGTGCATTTATATGAAGTGTAAGAATATGTTTAAAATGTACTTGATTTTTAATCTGGAAACAGGATTTATAAAAGTGCATGGTCTCCATGCACCTGATCTCCCCTACTAAATTTTTATCTTTCAGCCAATTTAAAATGTGAGGAAATAGAAGCCTCAAAAGATCTTTCAGTTTCTACAAGTTGCTTGAAAACTCAGCCACTAAGAAAAGAGACGAACCCAAAAGTGGTAATCCTGGTGTTGGGGAAAAGGGGAAGAGAGTAGAACTGTCTGACGTTATTCTGTCAGCTGGCCAGTCACTACTTATTCAGCCGCAGTCCTGTTTGGCGAGCGTATCGTAGCATACTGGTCTGCCTCGGATGGAGTTCATTTTCTTCATAGTGGCTCATGTGCTTCTGGGCTTTGGATTAGCAGATGAAACAGTGTTCTGTTTCAGCTATGGCTGAACAGTACTTGCACAGCATCAACGCTTTTCCTCTTTCCTGCTCTGCCCTGTTCCCTCACCCCTCCAGTGAATAAGCTGGGGGTTGGGAGGGGGTATACCTGGGACAGCTGACCCAAACTGACTAAGGTGGTATTCCATACCATATGACATCATGCTCAGCAGTAAAACTGTGGGAAGGGAGGAGGAAGGGGGGATGTTCATGATTATGGCATTTGTCTTCCTAAGCCACTGTTAACATGTGCAGAGGCCCTGCTTTCCAGGAAGTCGCTCATCATCATGGGAAGTAGTGACCGAATTCCTCTTTTTGTTTTGCTTGCATTCACAGGTTTTGCTTTCTCTATTAAACTGTCATTATCTCAATCCACAACTCTTCTTGCCTTCCTTCTGTTTTCTCCCCATTCAGCCAGAGAGGGGAATGAGCGAGCAGCTGGGTAGATATTTGGCTGTTAGCCAGGGCTAACCCACCGCACACAGGAAACATGTCAGAGAGATGGATGGGAAACTAGGTTTGGTTGTTTCTGCTATTCAGACTAACTTGTTTAACTTCTTTGTTGCAGATTGTCTTTGGATCAATTGTACTGCTCATGCTCTGGCTTCCTATACGCATTATTAAGTATCTCCTGCCTAACTTTCTTCCATATAATGTTATGCTCTACAGGTAAGTATTTATTTTTTTAAAAAGATGTTTTTTCAGTCTCTCTATAACTAGAAAAAAAGTGTATTTGTACTCAAAGAGTACAAATGTGACATTGTTCAGTACGTTATTTTGTTTGTTTGCAATTAACCGAAACTTCATTGTCCTAGAAAAGTCAAAAGTTAAAGGACGGGGATACATCCTATAACTTGTCAAATAAAAACCTACTAAGAAAAATAAAAGGCATTTTGTATTACTTCCATAATGATAACTATTTAGTTTTTATATGCCCTCAAAACACTTTCCCCTTCAACTTTTTGATAGTGAAGTTGCTGCCATATTGGTTTTTCACATTAATTCCTGATTATAATTCCTTCAAGAATAAAAGAATATCTGTAACTGCATTTCTTTCTGATGATAGCAGTATCTTTCTGTTTCCAAATAATTGAAACAGCAATGATAGAAGCAAATAGAAGAGCAAATCATATTCTCTGATATAATCTTTCTCAACAGTTTTTCTTAAATTCCTTGTGTGCCTAAGTGCCTAAACACTCATGAACACTTAACCTGTGCTCAGAGTACTATATAAGGAAAAATGTCTGCAAAAACCTACAAATTGTTCCTGTTGGCATCCAATATATTTTTTTTTTATTGTGGTGCTGTTTATATGATTCAGTGTAAAGGATTACTATCAGAGTGTTCCTTATGTTTGACTTCCTGCTCTTCCTGTTGTTTCTAGTGATGCTCCAGTAAGTGAACTTTCCCTAGAGCTCCTTTTGCTTCAGGTGGTGCTTCCAGCTTTGCTAGAACAAGGACATACTAGACAGTGGTTGAAAGGTCTTGTACGAGCATGGACTGTAACTGCTGGCTACTTGCTGTAAGTACAGATAGCCCAAATCAACTACAAGCTTTGTTTCCAGCTTAGCCTTTTAACATGAAACCAGCATGCTTTCAAGAGAGTTATCCCAACAAGTAGCTTTAATAGCTCTTTTACAGATAAATACATGATGAAAACATTCTATACTGACTAAGCAGTAGTTGTACTTCTGGTACAGTACCTACTTCTGGTCTAGTCTTTGAGAAGTAATTCTTTTGGTGCACTATTACAGCATTTGCTTAGTAAAAAATCTATAAAAGTGTGACTAACAGCTTGTTAATTTCATATTATATGGAAATATTGAAGAGGTGTCAGCAGAGCATTTCCATGAATCATCTAAGTAAAACTCATATGCACATCTTGCATTTCTAAATATAAAAAAGAAAAAAAAAAAGGAAACATTATTTAGAACATTAAGCTGAAGAAGTGAATACATTTAAACAGGGGATTTTAAAGTTAAAAGTTCAGTCTTTAAAGAAGGCTAAAACTGTATCTTTGTCAGCTAAAGTAAATGATTATACAAAGTGAGGTTCTTTAATTTAGACTACCAGGCAGAGTTCTAGCACTTGAAATTATTTTTTAGTTCATATGTTGTTTGCCAAATTAGTCAAGAAAAAATTAAGGTTGATTTTGTTTCTATAAAGTTTTAAATTTAACTTCAAAATATATTGGCATTCTCCCACCATTTCTTGCTCATCGTGAGTTGTGCCAATGCAGCACTATTAGAATGAAGATTTATTCTTTGCTAAGTTGTGTCTGAGGCTCTCAGAAAATGAATGAAAGACTTGTTTCTTCCCCTGCAATCCAAAATATTTATTTTAGCTTCTTATTAAGGAAACTCTCTCCACCTCTGTACTTTAGTTTCCATTCTGGAAAGCTATTTTTTTAATTAATTTATCCATGTTTTGATAGTGTTTAAGTATGATGCAAGAAGAGAATTTTGGAGATGACAATAGACATGGCTTTGTTTTCTCCACTAGACATGGCTTTTTCTCCACTGTTGCAGCTGTTAAGAACAGTTGTGAAATATCTCTTCAGCAATTTTAGTTGAGCAAAGATGAAAATATTTTCCTCTGCTTTTCTTAAAAAGCAAACTGCTGTGAAAATCATAGAATCATAGAATCATTATGGTTGGAAGAGACCTCAAAGATCATCAAGTCCAACCTTATACCTGATGCCACCATGCCCACTAAACCCACTAAACCATGTCTTGAAGCGCCACATCTAAACGTTTTTTGAACACCTCCAGGGATGGTGACTCCATCACCTCCCTGGGGAGCCCATTCCAATGCTTAAGGACTCTAACAGTGAAGAAGTTCTTTCTAATGTTTTCATTCAGTTCTTTCTAAATGTTTTCATTGTCTGCCAATAGAATATCTGCATGCATCTTACTGCTAATAAAAAGTCTGCTAAAGCTGAGGAAAATTAACTTCTAAATGTTCATAAGGGTTTTGTGGTTTTTTTTTTTTAATCAGGCTCAAATATCTATTTGCTAATGATATATGCAGGAAATATCAACAGAATACTTCTTAATGTAGATTGACTCTTTCTAGGACTGATGTTCTTAGAAAGTTATGAACAGGTTTTGAGCAATTTAGAATCTTGAAAGACTCTGCCTGACTCTTCTTTTGAAAACGTGTCTATAGCAATACCGTACTGTCCTTGCACAGTTTAGGTTTGAAGGCAATTGTTTCCAATAGAGCTTCATAGCTGTAAAATAAAATCTGGCAGTTGAGCTGCCTGCTTACATGAACTGAAATATTGATGCAATTTTCCTTTTATATGCAGAACAACTTTAATAGCAGATGTTGTTTTTAAAGCAGTCAAACAGATAAGTGATCTTTATTTGTGGCTGTATTCCCACTGTTCTAATCTGCATCCACATTAGCATTTTTCTTCTGAATTCTGTGTTTAGGATGACACTGAGTACATTATCAGAAAATGTTTTTCTTTATCAAGATTCTGCCAGTACTCCTGTATAAGTTTTGTACTTGTATGCGTTCTGAGTAGGCCTGTTTTTCTGCAAGATTCTTATTGATATCAAACGGAACAAAACTGAAATTCTGATTGTTACAGGGATCTCCATTCTTACCTACTTGGTGACCAGGAAGACAATGAAAACAATGCAAACCAGCAGCCTAACAACCAGCATGCTCGCAATAATAATGCCATTCCAGTCGTGGGAGAAGGTCTTCACGCAGCCCATCAAGCCATACTTCAGCAAGGAGGACCTGTGGGTTTCCAGCCTTATCGTAGGCCTTTAAAATTCCCGCTCAGGGTAGGTATATCTAACGCAATAAGAGAAAAGGGAACGGCATTTGAAAAATGGATATAACTTTTTTTTGTAAGAAAGATTTGGCCCACATGTTGTCAGAAGTCAATCGGTTGGTCATGTTGTTTTGTACAGTTTGCATCCTTCTAAAAAGTAGACTCACAGTTATTCTCACATACAGCTTTTTTCAGCCTGTAACTTAAGACCCTCAATTACCATTTTATTTATGGATCCCATGCATGTTGTGTATTATCTATTAGTTCATGTCTTATTTTTCTAGTGGTTAGTAATGGAGAGAAATACAATAACCCCCCAGCAAACAGGTAGTTCAGGAGTGTCTGTAACAAGGCATGGCTTTCAAGAGGGCATACTTCAGTCTTGTAGCTGAAGTGTATTTTAAACTACTTTGCTTTATTAAGAAATTAAATGAGAACTTCTGTTGCATCTATATTAAACATAGAAAGGTGTTAAAATACTTGAAAGTTCTAAATCCCTACAGTTAGAAAGGAAATGTTGTTGGCAAATACTTAAATTTCTAGAATAATATATAGGTCAAACTAGATAATTGTTTTGTTGTTACAGGAACTCTGATTTAATCAAATGTAAACTTAAACACAGCTCATTTACCATGATTGCAGGTATAGCTCAAGAATGGAAGTAACGGCTAAAGTTAGAACAGTGTAGTACTGTGTCTGAAGTTTCCTTAAAATGCTGAATCTACCAGACTTCCCATAACAAAGTATAAAATAAAGCTTTTTTTTTTTTCTTTCCTATAAATCTCAACATAGTAGAACTGAAGGCAAATTTGAAAGTGTTTTAGGATTTCACAACTGTTGAGCTTCTGGGTGTTTGAAGCTGGGGCTTTTTGATGGGGCCGTAATTCCCTCCATTGCTGTTTTTACTGTCTAAAATGGCTCTCCACAGGAATGCATGAGCTCACAACACTGTTGTAGAGGAAAGTAACTCCGGGATGAAAAGGCTAGGGAAGCAGAATCAATTTGCCCCTCTTATCATAGCAGCTGCTGCTACTTCAGCTTAGTCGTAACAGGAAGTCAAAGCATGCTCTGGCTGACACCAATTTAATCTAGCATAAATATGTACTTACTGCTGAAAGGGGTGGTGCCGGTCTTCTTTCCATGGCAATTGCTCCTTTCTTCCCTTCTTAGCATGAATACCTGTGCTAGAACATACACACAATGAGCTGGAACAGGAAACTGGTCCAGCTGAAAACGGAGGTAATATGCAGAAGGCATTAGTTAGACATGTCTGAAAGTTCACGTAAGACTTTACAGTGTTATTTTTAAAGAAAATATGATACTAGTGATATATTCATGTAGACTGAATGACGTTCATATGAAGTTGCTGGGTTGACAGACAGGTTAATTGAAATTAGTTTCTGATTGGCTGCTAAGGAGGTAATTAAAGTGGATTCTCACTGTGACCTGGCAATATGTAACAACTGTAATGTGGACATGCTGCTTTCAAGGGGTGTGTTAACCTAGGGACTCATTAAATCCTTTCTAGAGCTACCTTTGCATGGGTTATTTTATTTTTGTGGATACCTCTGCATAAGGACATGTGGTGACATGTGGTTAAATCATCTCCCCCTCCCAAACCATTGCATAGTAGAAACTTTCAGAATTTTGAGGTGCTGATCTTGAACTGGTGATAATAACTAAGCGGTTTCAGATTCAGCTGTCAAAGACTCTCTTTTTTTCTGGTCTACTTACCTTCATCTAGACATTTTAAGTTATTCTTTGGAGACTTCTACAGAATGTACAAATAAAAAGAAAATCTGATTTAACTGAATTGCTTTTCATTGTTTTCATCAAGAGATATGACAAGCACTTGCAGAATCTCAAACACATGGTAGCTCACTGATACAATTCTATATCCCTGGTTCTACTTGTTTGAAATATTTAAATAATGAATCACTCAGGATCACTGTAGGTGCTTCAGTTGTGAATTTTGGTATATTGACCTTGGTTCTACTTGGGTAAGTTCATCTTATGAAAAATGTGTCTCCCACAGAGATTTCCACTATGGAACAATACTGTATTTTAATTACTTTCTCAATTGGGTTTTTAAGCATTTGAGAAGAAAACAAAACAGTGTAAACATCTGATCTTTTCTATGCTTTCATTAATTTTTTCCATTTTAACCAAGTCGTAAGAACCTAGAAGAAGGTGGTTTATATTCAGTTTTAATTATATATGAATATTTTCCACCAGAACTCACTCATCACATCCATATGGATTGACCAAGCAATAACAACTGATCCTTCATGTTATTTCAGTTACAAATAAGCATGTAAAACTATGGGTTTGATTTTTTTTAATTTAATTAAGTACATACTGTTAATCTGAAACAAAAAGATTAATTTTATAAAAAATTATTCTACATAAAAGCCTATCATCAGTTTTATCAGGCAACCTAGATAATTCATCTAACTCATTCTTTTTTTTTAAGCAAACATTCTGTTGCAGGGATCTCCCAAAGCCTCTCCAGAGCAAATGCTGTTGTGTAGAATTTGTTGAATTTTCCTGCTACTGCCTTGTCTTCCTTTAGTCTTCCTTTCATAATCCCTAGTTGTCAGCAGAGCATGCAAACTCTCTGGCAACGTTTCTTCTGAGGATTTTTAGATTTTATTACTTTATTATTGGTACTTTTAAAAAAAAAAAAACTTATTTATAAAAATAAATTTATCATTACTTTTCATAGGCTTGGTATGTTATTTCTGAAATCCCTTTTGGCTTGTCCTACTGTAATTTTGAATTTCATTTACCAGAGTTCATCCATTTGCTGTTTTTCTTCCCCTGTGGATTTATTTACAACTTCTGGAAATATCTCCTTCTGGAAGCCAGTTTTATTTTCCTGTTTACCGTGACAACTTTGGGGAGACTTTTTTTTTTTAAGTCCTATGATTAGTAGTGTGAGTTTGTGCCAAACCTTCACTTCGGTATATATAAATGCATCTCCTGTGAGGATTTTTCCTTTTGACTACTATTTTAAATATTCTTTTAATACATATCCTCATTTTAGCTAGTTCGCTTTTTTGAAGTAGTAGTATTGTGGTGGATTTTGGAGAGAGGAGGGCTTTCCTTGTAAGATCTTTGAGTCTGAATATATTGCAGTCACTGTCAGTGCTTCTGTGATATGAGTGACTAGCTTCCCGTGCGATGTTTAGGTCCAAGTCAAGAGTTGCTCTTCCTCTTGTACCTTCTCTTGCTCGGTGATCCAAGAAGCAACTGTATATGACATTTAAAAGCTTCGTATCAGCTTCAGTCTATCACATGTTGTTTATTCCCACATGGACTGACTTTTCCCCAGCATTCCCTAAGTAACTTTTTACACAGTATTGGTCTCGAGCAAGTCACACCATGTGTTCCTCACCATTGAGAAGTTTTTTTGCCTGCAGCCTAGATGTCAACTACTCTGGTTTACTTCTTTCTGTCATTTGAGATCCCTAAACCTAAAGAGAGTATTCTGTGTGGAAAAGGGTATGTGGCTGTCACCTGGCAAGTAATCAGGTATTGTGGAATCATCCCTCTTCACTCAGGCTAATGTCTACAAAATCACAAGATTTTCCTTCCTTTAAGCAGTGCTGGAGATCCTAATGCAGAGATGAGACTGATCTACATTGCCCCAAAAGTCTCAACAGGGAAAATGTGTGTTACAGATTTAACTTTCTCTCTGTAGTCTGTTATGGTAAGGTGTTAGTTTTCCCATGGTAAACTTGCTTGTTGTGTGGCTTTGATGATTAGTGAAGCAGAACTTCATAGTGCATGGTGTTTGAGACATTCAGATATTTAAAGAAGTCAAGTACTTGAGAATTCTCTGATGTAAACCTGACTAAGGAGCCACCAGCTTTGCTGTCAGCTGCTGGTCACACAAACCTGAGGGCATCTGGAAGAACTTTCTCCAGCAACGTTTTCCTTATTATAAAAACCACTGTCCTGCTTATATGGCATACAGAGCTAGAAACCTTTCAGGGTTAATTGAGAGTCGTCGTGCTGGTCAGTGCAGAAATAAAGAGATTATTTTTTTAATGTAACATAGCAAAGAACTTCAGTCCATTTTGGATTCAAATGTTAATTTTTACTGTTGTGACAACTGATGCAAACTCTTAAAAGAACTGCACAACACGGTGGGTGTGCTGCATGTACTGTGGCTAGGTTTCTTAATGCTAATATACAGTGAAACATTAGTTAGTATTTAAACATTCTAGTTTAGCTGCCTTTCTAGGATGATATGTATTTTTATATGTTTTCTTGACTTTGGTTAAGTAACTTTCTTATAAACTATTTCTCTTTTTTTCCTCTTTCAGATATTTCTTTTGATTGTTTTCATGTGTATAACATTACTGATTGCTAGTCTTATCTGCCTTACCTTACCAGGTAAGTCTATTACTGTGAAACTGCAGTTAAAAACAACTTGGCATATTGCTGTGCTCAACAATGGCAGATGTTTTGAAACCATTGTTTAAAGTTAAAAGTGGAAAACATGGAAAATTATGTCTCATTTTTAATAGTGCATCATCAAATTTTAATAATCTAAAATCTAAATTATAGAGATAATACCCGTATTTAAATGACAGAGATTGCCATTTCCTTTGTTTTGCTGTAGAATAATTTTCTTTTAAGGACAGGACTCCAAGTGCTGAGACAATCTCTGTAGTAGTATTGAGAGAAAAAGAGAATTGAAACCTTGCACCTGCTTTACTGTTTAGAGAGGAAAATATATAGGTTGTTACCAGGTGTTTCCTCTACAGTGTCTTCTTTAATTAAATATTCTGAAGGTGTCATCATGACCGGTCAGTGGGCGACTTTGAAGTGATGAACATGCCACTTCCCAAACATGTATGAATAAGTACTTTAACAAAATAAAAAGCACTTTCTAGGGTTTTTAAAATAATTTGGACTAAATTAAGAGATGTAAACTCATTTGAATTTTATAACCTGGCTACTGTAGTACCATGACGCTAAAGTCAATAATATGTTGAGATCAGAGTTATGAATTTTATGATGGTTTTAATAGTAGTATAGAAAATAATTCCACTATAATACTAGTGAATAAAAACACTATTAAAAAATGAAACGTAGCAAGTGAGTCTCCCATTTTTGCCAGAGAGCTTCAGAAGCCCCATCAGTAAGTCTCAAAAAAGTATATGAGGCAGTGAAATAAACCAAACAGCTCGTAAGATTTAAGTTCAAACTTATGCACTAATCCATTATTGCCTTTGCAGTTCTGAAGATTAGTTTTTAGGCTCTAAATAGTGCAGTATTCAGTGCTTTGTTTTGCTGTAGTTCAGATCACTTTGGTGTAATGAAATTTTAGGGAAAATAAAAAATTCTACCTATGTATTTGGTATCACCTATGTAACTGTTTACATAGTGCTTCACACATTCATGCCTTATGGGTATAGTACCGAAATACTATTTTATGGTGAGTGCTATTTGTGCATTGATATTTAACAATAAATCTGATAAGTATTTTTTTAATAGGCATCCTTCCTTAATGCATCAAAGAGCATTACTCTATTTAACAGTGTTTGTGTTTTCAGTATTTGCTGGCCGATGGTTAATGTCATTTTGGACGGGGACTGCCAAAATCCATGAACTGTACACAGCTGCTTGTGGTCTTTATGTCTGTTGGCTAACTATCCGAGCAGTGACAGTGCTGGTTGCCTGGATGCCACAGGGCCGTAGAGTGATTTTTCAGAAAGTCAAAGAATGGTCTCTTATGGTGAGTCTTGAGAAATTTTTACTGAATTATCAAAAAAGTAGCTAATGAAAATTGTTTCATTTTTATTTGCAAGTTTTACTCTGTAATGTATACCATATTTTCCTTTTCAGACCATTCTGAAACTTTTGCAGCTTATATTCCCATTGCATAGGCTAACTGTATTTTTGGAAGCGATTTAGCACAATGTTAAGTAATCAGTGTAAATAAATTTGCATATATATCTTTATATATAAAGTGTATGTTTTTCTGTTTTCCTTTAAAAGTTAATATGTTGCATCATATTGTCCCGTATGTGATGTGTCCTCAAATACATTTACGTTTTCACATACACCTGGAAGCTTAACTATTACTCATTTAGCAACTTGACATTATCAAATAAAGAAAAAATAGTAAAGCTGATAGATAATGATGATGGTGTCTCTATAAAGTAGCTTGATGCATATTTTCAGAAAGATCTTTATGATTTGTCAGATCTTTGTGTTGTTCAAATTAATATTTTTAAAGAAAATATCCTTTTTTATTACCAGGATTCTCACCATGGCAACAAATTTATATCCCATCTTTTTATCTTGGCTTTGGTTTTGAGGATTTTTATAGTAGATTTCTTGCCTAAGTATAGCAATTTTAAACATTCATAGCATAAATGGTATCTTGTGATGGACATGCTTGTGTGCTTATTGGACTATTACAGACAGAAGAGCAGTGTAAGTGTGTATTTTGTGTTACCACATTTCCCAAATATCTCATCTATCACTTTCATTTAGGAAATTTTAAGTTTGTTTAAGACAATTCAGAGCTAAAATGTAATGCTTTTTGTCCTTTGTCCCTTCTCCTGATCGTGTTGATTAAGTCAGGCTAGTTTTGTATCTGATTTTTGGATGATGCATGTAAATTAAGAGAATTCTAGAATAAAGAAGGATTCAAGCATGGTGCTCTGAGTCTTTCATTTTTAGGTTAGAAATATTCCATAATGAGTGAATTTTTAAGATTTGGTTTTCACTGGAGAAAAGTCAGCAGTTTTGGAAAGATTATTCTCTAATATTCCAACGTACAAGAATACTCAATATGATGAAGTGCCATTGGGTAGTATTCCCTGCTGATAATAGTCAAAGGTGATTTTATGGTTTAAATCTATATGGACACCAGTAGGTACAGTCATGCCTTTTTCTGGAGGAGGCATGGAATAGGACCCAGTCTTGAAAACTTGCATTGCAAAACTCTGTATGTAATAAAAATTATTTCTAGGGGTGTATATGTATGAATTAAAGGTCTGTGTATTTTTTTTTTCTCCAGCTTTATCTGTTTGTATAATTTAAGATACATTTTGAAGTTTAAACAAAAAGAATCCTCTGATAAACATATTAATTAGCTATCTTGGGTTTTTTAGATAATGAAGACATTAATAGTGGCTATACTGCTAGCTGGTGTGGTTCCACTTTTGCTCGGTCTTCTGTTTGAACTGGTCATCGTTGCACCTTTGAGAGTTCCTTTGGATCAAACACCTCTCTTCTATCCTTGGCAGGTCAGTTCCTCCCGTTCTTCTTCTGCTGTTGATATACATCTTTACTTATAAGTAAGGAGTATGGGAGTTCATGTTTCATGCTGATTTGGTGCTTCAGAGCGTTTTCCATAAGTATGTTTCTATGTGGCAGAGAAAACACAGTCAGTCTGGATGTGAGGATTATTTAAACCAAAAAGATATGCTTAGGAATTCTAAGTATGAAAAGCTGAATTCTGTGGGATGACATCAGAGGATCTTTGCATTTCAGTGATAAGATAAACACTTTTTTTTTTTGTAACATAATTGTAAAGTTATGTACAGAAGTTAGTATAGTTGTATGTACGTATGCACAGACGTACATACTCTGTCTGACCTTTCTGGAAAGCTTTCTGCCTGCAGTTATGCAGCAAGAGGTTCAGCTGATCTTTTTTTCCATACAAGGTTTTAATTCAGCAGTGATACACACTATGAATGGAATTTTGCTATGCTTTAGGATCATTCTGGTTTTAAGTTGAGATGTCAAATCATTAGTACAAGATTTTGAGGTAGTAGTGGTTTGTTTTTCTTCAGTCAAGTCTCACAGGTTAATGGAGTGCAAACTTTTTTCTTGCAAGTTGGTGGAAGAAATGAAGGTACAGTGGATTGAGTGACAAATGCTTGCATCACCTAGGCTGAATTATGAAAGAACTTGTAACTCAAAGAAACCCTAACTGAGGGAACCCTAACTCAAAAGATCTAGAATGCATATTACTAAATAACAAGAAAATGTGCAGGGATGGTGGTTTTGTAAGCTGCCCACAAACAAGCTTTCATTTACTTTCAGTATCCAAATGTATGAAAGCAATAATACAAAGAAGAATTTGACTGCTTTAATTTAAATATTCCATTATTTTATAATACAAGTATACTTCGGAGGTGTCTGTTTAAGTGAATGACTAATAAGTCAGGACATCATATGATTGCAGTGGTAGATGATCATGGTTTCCAAACAGTTTTGGAAAGAATTTGTAATGCCAGAGACTCTAAAAATTCTTAATTTTTGCACGTTAGTTCTTTAAAAGTTTGGAATTAAATATACTGAGAGATTTTATTTTCATGTGGCAGAGCTTCCTCAAAATATTGAATTAGATGGATTTGAGACTTGTTCTGAATTAGCAAGGAGCTATTGAAATTGAGAATAATTTCCATTTTTCACAAAAGATAATAGAGTTATACAAAAGTTACATGCTTGAGCAAAAACAAAGCAATTCTTTTGTGAAGAGTATTGCCTTGCTTTGTTTAGCTTTGCTCACGAGTTACAGTTTTTTGAACAATTAAAATTTAAAATAAGAGAAAAACCTTGTTTCCTGACTTGTATGAGCACCTTTGTATCTTGTATCTCTTCTTTTTCAAAGGAATCAAAATAACTTATTTCTAGGTAAATGTTACCAGTATGAATTAGTTTGCACCAGAATGTTAGTCTGTTGCTTTAAGTAAGTGTAATGCTTTTATTTTGTATTTGCCTTTGGTTTAGTAGTAGTAGCTGATTTTCCTGGTTCCAGAGAGCTGAGTATTTTACAGATGTCAGCTAAGGTTGAGAGCATCCTCTTTCTTAGGAGTTTGCAGAAGATGTCACCTCTTAAACAATGTCCCGTGTAAATAGAAAAGTAATCATCTTTTCACTTATAAGTAATATTAACAAGTTGCTCTAAAAGCTTTTGGTTGTCAAACTATTTAAAATATGTTAATGCTAACAGTTCATTTTTACAAAATTAGGACTGGGCTCTTGGAGTTCTGCATGCCAAAATAATTGCTGCCATAACACTGATGGGTCCCCAGTGGTGGCTGAAAACTGTTATTGAACAGGTATGAAAAAATTGTCCATGTGAATAATCTGTATAATACATTTTGAATCCTTTTTGAATGTATGAGTCAGAAAACAGAGTTACTGTTGTATCACTGGAGTAATTTGAGTAATTGAATAAAACTCAACTAGTCCTGTAGATTCTTTTTGAATTGTATAGCCTAATCCATTAAGGTACACTTAACAATAAAACAAAAATAAACCTCAGAAATCTGAAATCAAGAAAATGCTGCATAGACGTATGTGCAATTTTATCAGGTTTGTATTAAAGTGAGAAACATCATTATTTCTTCAGGTGAATTCACATGTGTCCAAATACTGGACATTATTTATGTCCACCATGCAAGAACAGAGAATTTCTGCCTTCTCCAGAGCTGTGGAGATAACCTCATTCATAGATGAGTGCACATGAAAGACACCATTTCCATTACCCTTTGATTATTAAGCAAGACAGAACTGTTCCTGTGAGCAGTTCTGAGTCACATGGCCTGTTGCTTTCTTTGGCAGAAGTATATTTTTCTTGATTATAACCTATTAAGTTCTGTGCTTGTCATCTCGATGAAGCATCTCAATTGTTTGTCAGGAAGTAACTTTTCAGCCCTGCACTATAGGTGCTGGCTATGGTGCATGTCCTGACCTCTGTATAAAAGGTGCCTCTCTTGATTAAGTCTAGCACACAGTCCAGTTATTAAACCATTTCCTGATCACTTTAGGTGTCACACTGGAGAAATGCAGCCTTAGTTCTGGGAGTACGTTTTGCTGTGTATCATGGCTATTCCTTCCATTTTGAATGCTCTCCCTGGGCCCATTTGTTATACACACACTCTCGTGAGCAATCGTTAGAAATGGTTACATCCAGCCTGTGGGACAGAGGCCGTCGTCTAGCTGCATGTGGTAGCAACTTGAAACCAGTCTTTTCCCGTGATTAGTCTAGGCATGTTGAGACCTTAGCTCCTGGTAGCAGCTGCAGAAACTTAAGAGTTGTGGAGGCCCTTTCTTCAGGCACAGACTCCACATGCAGAGGCTCTGGTCTGCCCAACCAAGTACAAAATAAGATGCTATTTTCTGCCTGTGTTACCAAATTTAATAATTTGCTCTATTAGCATAAACAGAATCCTCTTTCAGCAAGTTGAGAGCACAAAGCAATCCCAGGTCACCCAAAAAACCACCATTCACAGCTCTGTTTAATGATCTCTCAGCTGGTCTCTTGCACTCCTGCAACCAGATCACAACACTGTTCCAGATTAAGTTGCTCTCCTGGGCACTATTTAATGATTTCCTGGAACCCTCATGATGTAGATTGGCAGAGTTTTTCCTTCTTCGACTGTGACCATCACGGTTTTCTTCAAAGTGGGGACACCTGTTTCCTCTCCTAAGGAAAATTATGTAAAACCTTGTCATTATTACTGTAAGCGCAAAGCATGGCTTTCTTGATTGATCCATTCTTCTTCTGACTTGTTCTTCTTAGGTATATGCAAATGGGATTCGTAACATTGATTTACACTTCATAATCCGTAAACTGGCAGCACCCGTAATCTCTGTTCTGTTACTTTCCCTGTGTGTACCGTACATCATAGCTTCTGGTGTTGTACCTTTATTAGGTATGTATACGTTCAGAATACCTGTTTATCATCCGATGGTTTACAGCAGTGTCAAAAAAAACAAAACAAAACACCACAATACCCACAGTATTCTATTCTGCCAGCAAATGTAAATGCTTAAGGATTGCTGTGTCATCTTAAAAGTCTGGGAATTTTTGACAAATGCAATACATTATTCTGACTGGCTTTGTAATAAATTAAGTGCAGAATACATCAAGAGTATGGGACTGCATATCTTAACAGCAGAAATATAGGTATCTAGCTAGTTTGGGAAAGGGATGATTAATTCATGTCATCTTTGGACAATCAACCTTTAATTTTAGTCTCTCTTTAAGAGCAAGACTGAGCTGAGGACATCCTTTCTGACTTGTCACATTCTAAAGGAAGCTTAGAATAGGTGAAAATACTGGTTTTGTTTTGAGACTTTCATTCAGTATTGAAATGAAATGTAAATTGTAAATATAGTTGGCCTTTTTTTTTCAGACTTTACTATTTCCTCATAATTGAGGGAAATAATTTTATTAGAAGGAGGGTAGATTTGCTTTTTCATCAATAGTTGTATTTTGCTAGTTAGTCTTGATGTTAACAACATGTTCAAGAAGTCCCATTTTTATTCTTCAACCTCTCGTTTGAATGCAGACTTTTATAGTGTCAATTTTTTTCTGATACGAAGTTTATAGAAGTCAATAAGCAAGAAGAGCTGATAAGCCCTATTTTTTTTACTGTGGATTTTCACTGTGTTAATGGAAAACTTTCAGCTTTAATGCTTCTGATGAAAAAGAATAGCAGCTGTCATCTTGGATCTCCGAAATAAACAGATGTGTTACTGATTTCACAGCCCTTCTACTGAAGTTACAGTATAACAAAAAGTATAGAAACAGGTACAGAAGCAGAAATGCATGAGTTACTTTAGCAATGTTAGATTATGAGAGTTGTGGCTTATTTTGTAGGAGTTACCGCTGAAATGCAAAACCTAGTTCAGCGACGGATTTATCCTTTTCTGCTTATGGTGGTGGTTTTGATGGGAATTCTCTCCTTCCAAGTTCGCCAGTTCAAGCGCCTTTATGAACATATTAAAAATGACAAGTGAGTATATAGTTTGGGTTTTTTAATTTTTCCACTTTAAATTTTGATAACAACTTCAGATTGAATTTGGGTGTTGTAGATACTTAGGGCTAAAAGGCATTTGAAGAAGTTTTCTAGACAAATGACCCTCTGAGGCAGACCTAAACTGTTATTGGCAAATGTTTTATCTATAGTTCAGGTAGATAAACACAGGAATAGACTGTCTTTATAAATGGAAGACACTCCCCTATGCCTAACTTGAATGTGTTTTACCACAAATGAAGCTTTGAGAAAGATTGAGCTGCAGCAAAGCAGATAGAGTGGATTTGTGTTACAGAATTGTATTAACTTTTGTTAATTTCTCACTGTTTTTACTGTAATCCTAGGTACCTTGTTGGGCAACGACTTGTGAATTACGAACGAAAGTCTGGTAAACAAGGCACATCAACAACTCCACCTCAGTCTTCACAAGAATAGATGGTCATATTAAACATCTTGACCTTCCCTTTGCCTTTACATGTCCTTTTTTTCATAGACTTTTCTTCAGTCTTTGGATATCTCTCCCAATAATACTCTTGGCAGTATTTTGGCTTCTCTTACTAGCATCCAGATAGCAGTTAAGGCCCTGTTCCTTATCTGCATTTTCTGATGTTATCAATGCTGTCTGAGGTCTGTATATGTGTAAATAGAAGTATCCTGACACCCTAAAACCTTGGATTAAAAAGAATGTGCATTGTACATCTTTAAAAAAGTATATTAATTTATTAAATCTAGTTGTCACTTTATTTTGGACTGCTGTTCTGTTGACAATGTGCCACAAAGCAATAGCGCGAAGAGGCAGGATGTTTTTATAAAATTGGGAGCTTACTTTATGGTGTTCATAACAGTTCTTATTGTAGTAATATAGTATGATTTTTCATGAGTGGAAAGGCCACACAGAGAATATCAAAAGTAAATAACTGTCTTACAGTCAGCAATGAAGTGGCTGTGGTGAGAACATAATGAACTATGTATCTTGCTGTCAAGTCTTTTTTATTATTTTGTATAACACCAAAGCTGTTGTACATTTTTCTATTGCCTGATTGTTTTTCATGTGTCTGAGTTTGTAATATTGTACAGTTGCTGTTAAATCAAGAAAATATTTCCTCTTCTGAGAATTCAGATGTTG